AATTCAACTACAATTAACTCGTGCGTATTTTCATTGCAGTTTTCATCCGTGAAATTAAATTTTGGTACACATAACCTAGAATATCCATGACCCTTTAAAAACAGTAAGTTATCTTTTAAATAAGGTACAAGGAATTAATCGAAATTAAGTACAATTAATTTATAATACCAAATGAGTTTATTAGTCTGTATATCTTTGTAAACATTTAAATACTTATTCCCTTACACCGTGTTATAATATTTAGGTTAAGTTCGAGTGACGAACTCGAACACAGTCCCAACACCTACTTAACCTATATTTTCTAAATGAGAAGTTTACAGCAGCCAAAACCTCTCATTGGATTCCTCTAACCTCTATGCTTTCCAACGACACGCAACACGTGATGAACGTTGCTCGAATTATTATATTACTGCCAAAAAATCAACGTCACGATGCAAGAAATCTGATGTAAAGGGTATGAGAGTATATTTAATTTCTATAAATACATATTCTATACGAATGTAACCTAACATTCACCTTTTAGTTTTACATTTGGAAATTCGGACGTACATCAAAAAAGAACAATATATTTACACGAGCGTGAATCAAGCAGACCTCGTGACGCAATCGAAGACAATTGTACGGCGAATTTTGTAAAGAAAAGCCAGTCCCGGTGAGAAGAATTCGTTGGAAATCGTGTGGCAATTGCTTCGTTGGAAACACGTTTGGAAACAAAGCGGTCCCTTTAGTTTGCTTTTCGAGGCTTCGTGTTTAATTTAACGATTAAAGGTGTAAAGAGCAAAGTAATTTTGTTCCTGGTCGAGGTCTTTCAGATCATTGGCCCGCACGTAACGAAAACCATAAATTGCTCGATGTCAGTGTCTAACAGAAGGCGCGTGGCGCAATCGAAAGGCAAATTTGAAAGACCTTGTGAAAAAGGCTATTGCGTTAGGACCATGATGAAAGAGGGCAAAGGCAATTAATGCCTGGATTTTCCCGTGAAAAGAAGAACACAAATATTTGATATCACATTGGATTCTAACAATAGGATTTTAGAAGCTTAAAAAAACACTAGATTGTAAGAAATTCATTTTGAATAGCATATATCGTAGGAGAAAATGTTATTTAAGCTTCACATGGTCTATTGATCCTCTAATCGAAAATTAATTCGTCTCATAGTCCTAGTATAAATATAATATCCGTAAATAGATATAAATTATTTATTATACAAATTTATTATTATTACTAAAATAGATTTCTAATATTTCAGTCTTAAATTCTCTTCAATGGAATTTAAAATATTATTCAGTATTATTATATACGCGATATTTAGTATAAAAATTTATAATGTAGCATTCGGTGAATTTCTAGTATATTTTAGTCCCAGGTCCTATAAGCTCTTACCGATCGAGCTCGTGAACGTCCGTAACTCGAATAAAACGCCATGTTTGGTCACGCGCGAAATTTCCTGGTGTGTTCCATAGATCTTCGAACATCGTAAAAATAATGATCGATCGGTACCGGATGGTTTCGTAAATAACGCAGTGGTGCCCTTATTAAACTAATGGGACCCAAGTTTCGAAACCGTGTCAGGTTTCGACACGAGAGATGAACGGCCGAGCGAACAAAGTTTCAAAAGTAGCCAAGATTTCGTGTGCTCCCTTATCGACCTGTTTTGTAAAGGCACGGTTTATGTATCTCTATAGTTCTCCATTCTTTGCTTGGTCCGATCGAGACACGTGTTAACACGCTCATTGTATAAAGTCAGTTTCTTTTCCTGTTTAACGTAAACGCTCGTAGCCCTTGTTTTAGCTATAGTGAATTTTAAAACAACATGTTGTAATATTTGCTCATTATTCGCCAAAGTAAATTTCAAGATTCTAACGCTAAATTGAATAGTCAAATAACGAATTATGGTAGACAAATTAACATTTGTTATGCAAAGTCAGGTTCGTTCCCTGATTAACATAAATGATTTAACTGTGTCAAATCTTAAATTAAAATTGTCTACGACGCAATATTTGCTATTTCTTCATTAAAGTATATTGAAAGTTTAAGCAGTAGATCTACCATGATAGAATATTGATCAATTAAATAGTCAATTATGATAGACTAAACAAAAAAGGAAGAAAATATTTATTAAAGAATTTTTTACACCCACGCCATAATTTATGCTCATTGTCATAGTACAATAGTAAAAATATTTTTTTCCTTAGCAAGACTTACAATTTTTCCAAGAACAAAATTTTCAATTTGTATCTTTTCGCTATTTAAAATGTTATTTTATATGTAAACCTTCTAATATAATAGAAAAAAGTGATATTATTCTATTTAGGAGAACACAATTTCAAATTTACTATGGAAAGAAAAATATCTATTTGTGCACGCATTAAGTTTGGTCAAAGGGTAAACTGCATAAAAGAACGAATTAGGAGAGGAAAACGATAAAAATTATCCCTGTTATTGCGCAAATGTGTCGATTGTTATTTTAATGTGGTTAATGCAGCTGTCGCGATGAAAACTGCGATAGTCATTCCTCGATCGGATTCGACTTGCTAGCCAGGGTATATCCATCGATCAAACGGGATATTTATGTCTCCCAATTGCTTCTGCACGATGGAATCTCGTATCTTTGGAAAGTTAATTACCCTCTCGTCAGCTGGCACCAAGATAAGCACATTTCGACTTTGTGAAATTCTTGTTTCTACGTTGATTAATCAGCCAATGAGAATTCGATCGTAATTAGACTAATTAACCGCTGACATCGCTGCAAAGAAAAACCCACCATTCCTCCGGTATATCCCGTTCAGCCGGATGTAATTGCGTGCGGGCCTTGAACGTCGACCATGATCGACTTGCGCCGAACATACTCGTTTAGATGTCTGATCAACTGTTTTCTCTTTTTAAAAAATCGATATCTAATTGTTTGGGAAATTTCCTTTCTCTTTCATTATTTTCTTTTTTTCAATTCTCTTGTTCCTGGGGTATATAATTTTTATACAAAATGGTATCTACAAATAGGTAATGTAATATCGGATGTAGAAATTGTTTTATTAATCCTTTGCGAACGATTGACGCCATGTACACGAGATAATATTTTTATTTATCACATATGAGATATCTCGCATATCGTGGAGAAAAATTATTTTATTATTTTTATTATTATCGTCGATATTTTTGATTCGAAGAATTTTCCTCGATTTCTTTTCTCTGCTAGAAGTTTATTACATATTTTATGCAGCGCTGTCTACTTCTTTTCCGTAAAGGATTAATTAAAACGAGTTATTGTATAATTGAAAGTATTGGATCGGGGAGAGTTCGTAACAAAATTTAATGACATTTGCATAGAGTTAACATTCTATAGAGTGAGCAAACATTTCTCTTTTTCTCGTAACTTTTGGGGTAGTTTTAGAAATACTTTTTCACCCTAATTTATTCCTCATTAAAAAATTGTTTGTTAATACATAATGTAAAATAGAAGATTTCCAGTCTCCAAAAATACCCAAGAGAACTTAATATAGATTGCCAAAAAGGCTACGAACTTTGCAAGCCCAATACGTGATATTTTTAAGTAATATTCCATCAAGGATAAAAGTTTGACAAATCGTCGAAACTTCATTCACTCTGGCGCTCATTATCGCTATGTGTATCACGATCGTTCGCGAAATCGTTACGTTTGCTTAATTGCATTTTATCTCTGGATCCTGCCAATACTCCATAAGACGTTAATTAAAGGAAAGAGCGTTTTGCAACGCTTAAGCGCTGTTAACGAAAAGATATCTTCCAATTAGGCGGAGAGAAGAAGGAAAAAATAGGCATAATCGTAGAGGAAACGCGAGCAAAGTGGCTGGTTCGAGGGATCCGGACATTTGTATTGTCTGCTCGTCGCGGATATCCGTATTAACCGGTCAATGCTAACGTACAATTATCTAGCACAATGGCAGATATTGTGCGTGTTATTGAGAACATGCCGCGTCCGCATGACTTGCTCCTTAAAGAGATTCGTGTGGAAGAATTCTCTCGCTGACGATCATCTGCGCGACAGAGCCCATTCGGTATTAAGATCGAGCAGGAATTTGCATACAGTGCAATTGACGGGGCTGAGTATGGTAATAAGAACGATCTGAATTGAAATTTATGAGTGGCTTAAAAAATTATTCTAAAAGGAAATATTCTTTTCTTCTTTTTCTTCTCTTTGCTTTTTCAAGAATAAAATTATGGATAAAAGTTTAGTCACGATATGACGCAAGATTTGTGCACTCCAAAGTAGCTAGGCTTGAGCAATTAGAAAACGTCCAACAACGACCATGGCAAAGACCCTATGGCATTAGAAGATTCTCAACTATTCACCTCAATTAACCCTCCACTGATACGGACATACCGAAGCCAACTGTCCATCGACTCCCTTAATACTAGAACTATGATGAACAACCAAATATGCGATGAAAATAAATTACTATATACTATTTAGATATATTTATATCTAAATAAAAGTCTAGGACTAAAAGCAGCTGCATGCTTTCAGAAATTGCAAAGTAAAGAAAATACCCGAAACGAGCAATTTTTATTTGCTTTTTAACCCTTTGGTAGTTCTAGCGTTAATGTCCAATACAGTAGAGTCTCTCTTACACATCCATTGCGCAAAATTGACATAGGACGTTATACGGAAATAATAACAATCATATAATATTATTACAACGGTTAATAATAACAGATAATAACAATGACATGTTATGTCGCAATGTCGACAAAATAAAAAGAGATAGTATCGATAACCGGAAAGAGATAATTCAGAAATTATGATAGATTTTTCAAGAAATCGATAGGAAAGATATTCCACGGTATACATCTCGAGCATATTCTATCTTATTGTATGGAACGAGTTAATTAGTAAAACCCACGGAGCGAAGGCGTGAAGCACGAATTATTTGTCCTTCCACAAAGATTATTTCCTAATGTACGCAGTCAGTGGCATGGAACGACGAAGGTGTGCGTGACGCAACGATTTTCCTGAATTTCAGGCGTTGACCGTGGGCGACAAAGGTTGCGAGGCACTACTACAGGCTCACCTTCGATTAGAAGGTACCGGAGCGGCGAGCGGTGTCGCAGGCGTGGTGGAAGCACCTGGAGGTCGACGCTATCTCCTGCTGGAGGGCCACCACGGTGACCTGCACGCCTACGTAAGGGCGCGCAGGCGGCTGCGGGAACCGGAGGCGAGGCGGCTCTTCCGGCAAGCGGCCAGGGCTGTGGCTACGTGCCACGAGTATGGGGTCGTGCTCAGAGACCTGAAGCTCAGGAAATTCGTTTTCGCCGACGAAGCAAGGTAAGCAGAAATTACGTGTGATACGAAATAAATTTAACACTGGAACTACCGAATTCCTCAAAACGGCTCCTCCCAAATTTTTCTTTCTTTTTTTTTTTTTTTTTATTATTGAAATGACCTTCGTTTGCATTGTAATGCTTCAATTAGTCTTGGAAAGGGAAGAATTATTTTTATCTGGAAAGACTCTAGGACTAAATGACACGTTACAGATTGTCGATGTCTCCACAGTGGCGCTAGTGGTGTGCAAGGAATTAATATCGGTTACGTACACAACATTTATGTACACATTTCGGGGTGGTAGTTGCAGTGTTGATACAAATAGTGAAGGTAAACAACAACGAATGTGAACATTTCGACATTTCCTTTTCCAATCTGCTATACGGGAGTAGAAATTTCGAGTTATGGACGATACGATTAAACGCCATGGGTTTGGAAATATTTGTTCTATTTAAGTTAAAACAATTAAGTGAAAACAATTTGTTCCTTCCACTGCTTTGAAATATAGGAAAGTATTTAATTTGTAGTTTGAATGTGGATAAACGGGGTCGACATATCGGCTAGTTGGCAGTAAAAAGATTAACATGTTGACTGGCGTGGGGGTTACCAGTGATTGGCACTCAATTTTCCAGTGGCGCTTTGGTCATTTCGACTGTTCCTATCTTCTTCCACGTTATTTCGGCGCTTTGATCTTTTTTTCGGAAATATCGTGCATCCAAATTTTCCTAATTATATCGGTACTTTCCAAAATATACGCAATCGTGTACGAATTTTAAATTGTATGAAGATCGATAATATATCAATTTCATGATGTATATATATACTACATACATTTCATTTTTATGCGACACTATTTTCTCGATAACTCTTTGTAAGACACATATGGCATATCACCGTGTGTTTTAGATAAATAGATAAACCCACATGTCACGTTGACAGCTCCAAATCTATCAAAACACCAGTATTGCGGAGATATAAATTACAAAACGATATTAAGCGCCAATATCTGTAAAACGTAAACAATGTTAATTTATTAATCTGCAAGAATGATCGAGGAAAAAATATCGATTTTTAGACTATACCTGTATTTACGTAAATCCAAACGAGACAGTTAAATAACGAGAATTATTTCGATAATTCGATTTTTACATTGCGTGACTCATAAAATTGAAATTCCGTGTGAAGGGGTATCGAATTCATTTGCGTAGATAATATCTCATGCCTGTAAATTCAAGACAAATGAGCACAAATAGATCACACGTGCATTTACTATCCCCATTACGAATGGACTTGGATATCGATTCAAATGGTACACCGCACGGTGTAACATCGGGAGAAAAAAGCGAAGAAGCAAGGTGTCTCGAGGTGACAAACTAGCTGTTAATTTGACACGACTGTTAACGATAGTCTACGCCCACGTATCGTTTGTGGCATTCTTGGAGCGAGTGAGAGGGCACGTGTTGCACAGCCATAGAAAACCAGTTCGTATTCGTTTCATTTCCATATTCGCCTGTAATTCTTTTGCACCATCGGTTACACGGGAGGTATATCTTGGAAAAAGAAGTACTTCCACGCCTACATAAATTAATTTCCCCTTCACCGACCGATACACACCGGCACAATACGCAACCCTTGGACGCTTAATGAATTCCGTTCTATTTTCTTGTTTTCATTCCAACCTGATTATTTATTGCAATTGCGAATTCGACAAGTTGTAGCCGTTGCATTTCTAGCTAAGGTTTCAACCGCGTCGTCGACCGAGCGCGATTGCGTTAGATCCAGAGTTAGAATTTCCAACGGTCGACGCGATCGCTGCAAAAATGATTCAGTACGTCGCCAATCCTCCGCGACGAATACCGTGTTGAATTCCAAACGAACTCGCGTGTCTCCCACTCCACACTGTAAGCACCTAATTTACCGTATATCTCCAAATATCTGCAAATATCTGCGAGTTTCGGCGTCCAAATCTACAAAATGGTCGAACATCTAAAACGAGAAATGAAAGACATACAGCGAAAGAAAAAGAAACTTTATATAACTCGAATGTTTACCTCTACCTTTAATGCTCGAACGCCGGTCAATTACAGCTGCATAAATAACGAACCGGAGATCTCTATCTCGCAGCTCGGAAACACTCCATAAAGTTATTCTTCCGGCAAACAAAAGCCGCCATAACCTCTATTGAACCACGGCTTAAACAACTGTGCATAAAGTCCCAGCTGGTCTACGGCACATCCAGCCAGCCACACACACCGCTATTAAAGCTCGATGTAGGTCATTTTGACTCCATTCGAACGTCGAAGCAGCCAGCTCTGCCCGCCCGTCCTATTACATATCGCTAACCTTCCACGATGCAATAGCGTGTCGCCATTGTCGTGTCACACGACACCGAGGTTAGAGCGTCGGTTAGCGAAGTCCGACTCCCACCAGTGTAGTAGTAGCCTTCCCCGTGTTATGCTGTCGCGCCACCTTCTGTGGAAGGGTGGCATGTCGGTCATGTATGTATATGCAGACGGAATGAATTCGTGGAACGAACGGATCGCGCCACGCCAGACCACGCTGGTGCCACACCACGGCGAACTATTCGCAGGCGTGTTCCCGCGGCTGAACGTGACTGTTCGCGCGATACCACGCACCTACACGCGAGTTCCTCGTGGCGGTGAGTGCAGCTGAGAGAGCCGCTCTCGAGGGCAACAGACCGGGTATATAGGTGTCCGTTGTTCTCTCCGTGTCGTAGCGTGCGTATAACGATAAAGGCTGAGAGAAGGAGAAAGCCAGCGCCGCGTGTGTGTTCGCGCTGTGTCGGTTCAGTGTTGGCCAATCGCGCGTTGCGCTCGCATTCCTGTCGCTCGGTGAGCTGCTCCCGCGCGTAGAATAAGGAGAAGCGAGAAGGAAAGATCAGCGAGATACATGGCAGGAGTGGGGGAACGGGTGGCAGAGGTGGTGGTGGGGATAGCGGGAGGGCACGGAGAATGTTGCAAGCCAGAAAAGCATATTGGTTCATCGGCTGGCGAGATTTTGAAATGCTGGTATAATTAGGAAACGCGTGGTTCGTTCCACCTCCCAGAAACTCTCGTCGACGTCCAGACGTACTTACTCGTCTGCCTGCAACCGTGATTGCATTAGAGCTGCGTATACTTGCACCGCGGAGATCCGTTGACCCTAGAAAAACGGGATATCGTAGTTACGGAACTCCATGCGTTGCGCGAGTCCACCAGCGAGCTTTCCGATAGGCGGATTTTTTTGTTGGAAATAAGATATCAGAGTTTTTCTTGGAAATGCGTCGATTCACCGGAAGCACTCGTTTTGGAGGTTTGGTGAACTCTCATAGTAAGGTTATTGTCAGCTTTCTTGATACTAAAATGTCGAATGACTGGTTTAAGATACTCTATTTTTGTTGTTATTAAAAATATACAACTTCTTTTAATAAAATTGACGTTGCAATTAATTTTAATACTATTGTATGTACTTATTCATACTCATATCATTTCAGATGTTATCATTCGTATGCAGTATGTTTAACTACATATTACGTTTCAATTTACGATGTCGGAAAATTTTTGTCCATTATCCACAGCTTTTATTTACGATTTCTAACCACATTTCAAATGTATCATTTTTCCTCTATGCATATATTCTAATAGGTGTATAATCTTTGAGGCAGAAATATATAAATACATGCAATGACATATAATATTTGTCATTATCGTATTCCTCAAACCTATTTAAAAACAGTAAAATAGCGAAATATCTGAAAAGTTTGTTACCCTCCTCGAATTTAACGCGCCTTCGAGTTGAACGCTTCCGGTAAAGGAATGGATCTACAAAGGAGTGTCGTTAAAAATGCATTTCCGATAGATATGCATCGGTTTCGTGTCAGCCGTTTTGTTACAAATATAATCACGATGGTTGCTGTGCGCAATACCGATACGTAACTATCCTTGTATCTTACTGCAATCGCGCTTATGCAAATATCCTCGTGTTTCCTCTGGCTTCGCATTTGCATGGATTTTTTTTCTTCGTGGCACCGCCATTTTTTCCACGTTTCCTGTATTTCATGAAAATTATTATTAAGGAAATCATAGATATTTTGGAATCGCTTAAACCATGAACTTGGGTCATTTTTTAATTAAAAACTGCTTTAAACGCGGAATTAAAGATTCGTAAAAAAAGATTAATTATTCGCATTATATAAGTTTGGCAAATTTATATAAATTGTAGCAGACGTAAACGGAATAGGATATAATTCTGGAGAAATGAATTACTATAATAAATCGTTTAAATGACGATAATATACGTTATAAATAAAGTCAGTCTTTTCAAATGATATTCAACCTGATGAAGTATCGATTTCTTTCCTTGAAAGATTTCTAATAATCGATATCAAGTTTTATCGCGAATTTGACGATATTGGAATTATTTATTACGAAAGTTTATATAAATTATCGCCTTAATATCTGAATAATTCATTATTAACGACAAATAATAGATTACTAAATTTGGACAAGTATTATGTGCTCCCAGTTAAATATCAAATACAGTAGTTAAACACATTCAATGTTGATCGAATTTTCGTTATTTATGCTATATATTAACAAGTAATTTACGTATACAATTTATTTCTTAGTTAGTCTCATAAACGTTGTGAAGTTATTGCAATAAATGCACCAAAAGATTAAAATAAAAGTGATCACTTTAATAAGTTATTAATGAAGTTTTTCTTGAACCATCGTGAGATCAAAATTTCTTATTCTTCGTTTTTTTCTTTCTTTTTGATTGTACACTCACCTCTTCTCAGTTTGCTTTTGATACTGATCTCTACTTATAAATATTATTTAATATCATATTCGCGAAACAGCAGAAGGTTACATTTTCCTTGTTCCATTTGGCCCACGTTTATCAATGTCGTCATGATTCGCATAGCCATTTGTAACATCGTCGATCCAGGTGTTCGGGATCAGTTTTGTTCCTCTTGAACTACGTACGTACATGTTGAGCAACAA